ACGAAGATGTTGTACATTTTGTTACGTCATCATGACGTAATCAGGTATCAAATTACAAGCGATTTAAGGGCAAACTTTGACAAAATAGTTTGCGTTATATCTTTTGAACCAAATAGAGTATCGTGTTCGTTTTTTCGTGAGGTTGTAGACTATGCCGTGAGAAACATTTCATGTTCCCGAACGCAAAACCGCTTGACCTTTACTTCCGGTGTTACCGGAAGTGCAATAAAAACTGAATATAACTCAAAAGCGGAAGCATTTCACTACAGACATATATATTATGAAAGTGTATAGTGAGGAATGCAAGACGCAAAAAACAGGGTGATGACGTCATCATCCGAAAGGGCGCCCCCTATCGGCACATAAAATATAGTTTCCCTTCTGTAATTGTAAAACTATCCGTCCAAATTTTACCAAATCGCCCCTTGACATTCTCTGATTAATCACAGATAAGGTGGCAAGGTTTCAAATTCATGACGTCACCAGACCGGAAGTTACTTTAAGGAGAATTCGAAAATGATCAAGGTTTAAATTTATTTCTATCATTTGATCCCTGTCATATCTTCGAAGTCCAAATAATGATATCCATTACAATGTTCACCTTTGGATCTCTAATGCTGTGACGTCATCAAACCGGAAGTTAGGTGTTATAAATACGTCGTCAAACCGGAAGTTATGTGATATTAATACAAACAATTATATTTCCCATATTTACATACGTTATTTAATTTTAAAATGACAAATTATCCTCTCCGAACTTTATCAGTATTCACTAACCATTTTTGACTGATGACGTCATCAAACTAGAAATAACTTTTTGTGCACATAGAATGTTTACTGAAGTTTATCACACCGTTAAAGATACCTTTTTGAAACATTGATTGTACTTAAAGGGATTTAATTTTGTGATCCTTTTTTCTACATATATTCCTAACTTAGCTGGGCAGTGTGTAATGAGAAGGCTGTCCGCCCGACCACTCTGCGTTTGTAACTCAACAAACGCGAAACTCTAGTATTGCATTTTATTTTGTTCATTATGCACACTGCAGTGATATACAACTGAGTTCGTTGCAATCACTATCACTTATTATCACGAATATACCCCATTTTCAAGTTGCAATATTATCAAATTAAAGGTCAGTTGGAAAAAAAATATGATATTTAAGATATTCATATTGGTTTATTTCAATCCATTATCGCAGTTAAAAACTGAATTGCAATGGATTTAACAAAAAAAATAAATAATTTAACACCAAATCAACAAATTATTTGACAACAATCACCATTACAATTTACACACACAAACAAAAAACCATTAAAAAACGAACAATGACTTTTACAATTCACGTGTACAAAGCATACTGTTAAAAACATGTCCATTACAATTTACATATCGAAAAATTAAAATTATTATTATGGGTTATGCAATCTGATTAAGATAGGAAGCGCACTGGTATAATAACGTTTTGTTCGGCAACGGATTTCAGGGATGGATGGTTTATTCCGCAGCATTCTAGTATGTTGAGGCGGAAAGAATTCACGAAAAAGATCAGTGTGTTTAAGGGTTTTGTTGAAAAAGGATAATGATATTTGATTACGTCTGTTTGCCAAAGAATCTAAGCTGAAATGCGATAAAGCTTGGGTGTATGACAAATACTCGACCCCAAGAATAATCTTCAAGGCACGTTTCTGTACTTTTTCAAGCCGAGTCACCCGATGCTGGGTAAGTGCTCCGTTCCACACAGGGGCTGCATACTCCACCAATGGTCTGATGAAGCTCTTATAGAGGGTTATGAGATCACTGTGAGGCAAACCGTAACTTTTGAGAACCCTTAACATGTGGATTTTACCATTAGCACGTTTGACAATGCTGTCCACATTTTTGTCCCATTTGAGATCACTTTGGATAGTAACTCCCAAAACCTGGATATGTGATGTAATACAGAGTTCATAATCATCAACAGAAATAACAGGCATTACAGGGCTATTTCTAGAGAAATCAATATTCATTTGAAAGCACTTACTAGGATTTAATTTCATCTTATTTTGCATAGACCAATTTGTTAGGCCGTCGATGGCGTCCTGCAAGCAAGAATTCTGCGAAGATGGTCTACACTCAACAATCGATAAATCATCAACATATTTGAACACGACCAGGTTATCACCCTCAAGTCTGACATCATTGATCATAAATAAAATTAAAATAGGGCCAAGTTTGGTTCCCTGAGGGACTCCGGCATTTAAGGTCAACCAACTGGAACATATTGAGTGGTAACGAACACACTGTTCTCTAGCGGTTAAGAAGTCAGCTATCCATGGAATGATAGAAGGGCGCACTTCCAAATGGATTAACTTATTCAACACTATTGTGTGATTAATCCTATCAAATGCTTTTGAAAAATCTGTGGTAGTCACAGTAGCAACCGATTTTGATTTATCAGCATTTCGATACAACAGGTGAAGCATATTGATCAAATAATGATTTGTGGAGAAATGTTTGCGGTTTCCAAACTGGGCAGGGTCCAATCTGGGGCCAATGTCCTCCAACAACCACTTCGCAATAAATCCCTCCGCAACCTTTGCGAAGTGGTTAGTCAGAGATATCGGTCTTAACTTGTCAACAGAGGGTGGGCTGGACTTGGGTATGGGTATCACAATAGCTCGTTTCCAATCTTCGGGCACTCTTCCTTGTTGGAAGGATTTATTCAAAATATGAGTAAGGGGAGTAGCGAGTTCAATGGCAAAATGATTAATAAACCGTGCAGTAATATTGTCAGGCCCACCAGCTGTAGACAGTTTAATAATTTGGAGCGACTTATAAACATCCCATGGATACAAATACGGGCAAGGTTGGGAAGAGGGTAAATATGCTGGGAGTCTACTAAGGTCAACACAATCCATATCTGATGCAACTGATACAAAATGTTCAATAATAGTAGATGCTATCATGAACGCATTATCTGGATCAACTCCTGGAATATACACTGACGGATGGTCTTTGTCATTACCAGTAAGCATGCGAATTCGGTGAAACCAAGCCGATGGTTTACTCTGTTTGAGTTTTGCAACCCGAGTGGCATAATACTGTTTCTTTGCCACGGCTATACCTGCTATAATCTTCGTCCGCAATCTTCTCCAGGAGACCATATCATTACAATGAAAAGTTGCCTGTCGTGCTTTAATTAACCTTTTGATTTGTGGAGTCATCCAGGGTTTATCAGTAGTATGAATTTTGACTCTTTTAACCGGAAAATATAAATCAATCTTTGTGTTCAAGGTCTCAATAAACTTTTCATATTTTGTGTCAATATTAGTGTGATCTAACTCTTGAGCCCAGTCATAATTACTTATCCACATTCCAAAGGAACGCCTGGCACTCTCGGGCATAGGACGCCTCGAACACAATTTGCTTGCATTTTTAATTCGAGGATTATACACTGGGGTCCAAAGTACAGTGTTATGGTCTGACATGCCAACTGGTGATGTGATTTGGGGTATCGCATACTTATCACTCATATTCGTAATAATCTTATCAAGAATACTATTACCTCTAGTTGGTTGGTCCACAACTTGTTGAAAATGCTAATCTGCAATAAGTGGATTAATATTCAATTGATTAAAGTCTCCCAATATGACAAACCCAGCCTGTGGGTTGGAGACACTCAGATGATCCATAGTGCTCAATATGTGGTCAGTCATGACTTCCTCAACTTCAGAGTCCGGATGAGGGAAATAAACCACTGCACAAAATATACAAGAAACTGATCTTGGCAAACGATAGGGTCGTAGCTTGATCCAGACGATCTCCAAATTTTCTGGGACGTTAATATCAGTTAACTGGGAAGCATTCCACTGATGTTTTACATAGAACGCCACACCACCACCAAGTTGATATTTCGATGGATGTAAGAGAGACACGTCCATATTGGTATATCTTCGAGTTGCTTCCATAATTACTTACACGAACAGAACCGTGCCACGCGATGTAACTATAGTGTAAATTCAACTGGACCCACATTCTAAAGTTTTCGAAGAACAAAGTAAATGCTGATCAACTATTCATAGATGCGACATTAACCCGCAGATCATGATGCATTATGGGATAGCTAGCAATCGACAACCACTGTGTACTTGGTAACACTACATGTATTTTCTGTTGCATGTTTGTATCTTGTATCTTTGAAGGACATTTCGTCATTGTTGGCTTGTTACAGAGGGCAAGCACCTTATATTATTTGTTTCCTAACTAACTTACTAACTAAATGATTGACAGTCATTCCTGGCATTCCTATCGTACAAAGAAACCCCGCAACGCCAATGAATGGGCTAAATCCGGTCAGATAACCCTATTTTTAGATCAGCCTAATCTCTTTTGTTAAGAAAGCAAACATTGAACACTATAGAAAATAACCTATTCAATTCAATTCAATTCAATGTAACATTTATTTCCATACTCAAACAATAACATAACAGACATAAAATACAATATTGTGGAGGCACAATCCTAATAAGCTAAGGCTTGTAGCGAAGTGTCTTAAGAAGAGAAAACAAAGACATTTAATAATCAAATTAATTAAGTTAATTGATTAAGTCAAAGACAAACATAAACTAGAAGACGAAATGATCTGACCAGAAATAAATTAAGAAATAGACCCGTTAAACTGCAAGAGAGGTGGCAACATTGGAGAACAAACCAAAGGAAAACAACCAAATTATGCTACATATTGGGAAATAAGATACTCTTTTAAAGAGTTCTTAAACACTATATAAATTAAACAATATAGAATTCATCTTTTTCGAGCTCAGACAATTAGGAAAAATATTGCTCCCTACCTATCAATATAACTTTTACGTATACATTGTTTCATACTGGTTGATATAAATACCTCTGGAAAATGTGTAAACTATTCCGTAATTTGAATTTCTCGTGTTCTTATTGGTTATACAATGGTCAGTGGTCACTGTTAACGACAATTGCGCATGTCCCGTTTCCATTGGCGGTCTATATAAAAGATGCTGCGCGTAATGCGTTGGTGCATCGATCATAGAAGATCAGCTGAGAAATCAAGGGAAAGCATTCCACACTCCTTTCTGCTTCTCAGCAGTCATGTAAGTACTGTGAATCACATTTCGTACCCGTGCAGACAAGTATTTGTCTCTCTTTAGGCTTAATACTGGTAAGCAAAATTGTATTTTCCACAAGCATAGGGCTATTGAAAAGATGCCGTTGGTAAAATAGCAGCTCTCGAATTATGTAAAATTAATACCCCAGCTTGAACGTAACCAGCAATCCATGCCCGACATGTGTTCAGTCCTGTACAAACTCGCGGTCGGTAATTAATTAGTGTACAATTCTGGATGTAGTTCTTTATGCAGTCGTCATCCAAGAGTGATTATGAATAGTAAACTACTTCTCCAGCATGTTCAAACTCACTTGAAGACATTGTTACATTTATTTTACTAGGAACGGTAACGAGGAAAAACAATCATACTCCAGACCCCACATTTATAGAACATCGGATACACTTAAATTAAGTATATCCAAACCTTGAAATTGCCTCTCTGACTGTATGGTATTTCGGTGCTTGGCGTTTCAGACAGCAGGATTCCACAAATACTTGTGTAGACGTACGTATGCTGACTGACTCTTTGAATGACAAAGGGTCACAGAAAAAGTATTGCAAAAATGTAGAGTTGATTTCCTGGTCTCTCGTTAAGAAATAATAGAACTAGAAAAAGTGGTAAATTGGTGGGGGGGGGGGGCTCATTCATGACTCCACCTTGCCATGAACCAGACGTGTTTTGCATATACATAATAGAGTCAGCGTTGTAGTAGTATTTTGTTGCCTGCCAAGAATGGCCGTCGTTACGCCTCCGTTGAAAAAAATGCATCCCTTTCCATTTTTTTTTTGGTCAAGCATTTCGACAAGATGAAGATCGTCGTTCTCCTTGTGTGTTTGGACGTAGCCTTCGCCCAGCACGGTCATGAATTTGATCGTGATGCAACACGCTCTCGTCGCAAAGGTACGTGAAACTTAATTTAGCTATTCCCAATTTCAATTGTTTTCGTTAACACTTTCTTCCGCTTTGGTTCTCCTTGCGTGTTCGGGCGTAGCCCTTGCCCGGCATCGCCATCATAATCACGAATATCGTACTCACGAAGAACAACAGGACCCACTCACGAATGTCCTGCTCCCTTAACATAAGGAACATGATAATCATGATGACGATCATGACAGTGATGCAGAGCACGCAGCTCCATTGATAGGTACGTGTAAGTTTAAAGAGCGAACAACTCGCTCGACTTCACGTTCATTTTAGTGTGAACGTCTGTGCAGTTATTTCGATTTATATATCGCCCTGCCAAAGGCAATAATTTTCAGGTACAGGAAGAAGAGAAATGGGTTCTCCAGTCAGCTCATATAAATTTCAACTTGAAGGGAACAGATCCTAATTTATTTCATCTCCAAAAAAGTTCTTCTTATCCTGTCTCCGGTCTAACCGCCGACAACCTACATTACATTGCACTCTCACACCCGGTACCCCACCCAGGTTTACGTTACATACATTGTGTGGACTTTCCATTGCTTTCGTGTAGTTAAGAAAAACCAGTGAAAAAAACTCATTTTTCTCAAACTGTGAAAACTCTTTCAACCCATTTTCCCCCTATGATTCCCTTTAGTGTTTCTCTTCATTCTGCCACAGATCAACCTAACCCAACAATATCTCTAAACCTGTTTTCCAGAAATGGGGAAACATTGTGTGAACGTGGGCAAGTCCACACAACGTCGCTGCTACCTGGTTTATATGGACCTCTTTTGTTCGGAAGTCCACACAGCGTATGTAATGTCTGTACACAAATGTATACATTTGTAACAATGTGTCTCGCCCATCAACCCATGACTCCTACGATGGGCCCCAGGTGCACGCTCTATTTTTGGAACTCCGTATATGGCCACGCGAGAGCACCCCAAACACAAAAATAATGATTTCCCCACTCGTCTTTGAACCGTACACTGACAATGGTCTCCATGCCTGGCCTGAACCAAACAACATAGAATGAATATTATCGTCTATTTCTTGTAAATGTCTTATAGTTTTTCATGTTTTCTATTTGACCAACTAGTCTTGGCTAATCACGATCACGATCAACAGACTCATCAAGAATATCTCATTCATCGTAAATTTGGTCGTGATGCAACAAGTGCAGGCACACGTCTCGAAGGTACGTGTTTACGTAAACGTCTTTGACCCATTGCCCACTTTCATTTGAAAGTATTATAAATATTTCATTGTCAGACTTACATTGTTTTAATTGTCTGTTGTGTATATTATTAGGGGAGCGATCCCAACGTCAATTTGTATGAGAGCCATGGTAATTGAAGACATATTTCACTGCAATTCTGGCCTGGATTTGGGGCTTCCAATAAGCCATTTGCGAGTATCCTATACCCTTTAGGATTTACATTTCTATAACATCTGGTACACTGACTTGCTCGGAATGCTTGGTACATTTCAACTTTGAATTCTCCAGACCAAAGACAGTGTTGCTAATCACATGATTCGGGGCAAGCTCTTGCATAGTTACGTAAGAGACGCTCAGCATCAATACATCGCTCACAATGGGTGAGAATGGCACAAAGACACCAGACCATGCCAGAGCTGGGTGTTGCCCGTGATGGCATCACGTGATGTAGTAACAGTCTCTTTGGTCGGGAGAATGCAAAGTTAAAATGTGCAAAGCATTAGATTAAGTCAGCGTTCCAGATTGTATTCAAATTTAACTCGCAAATGGCTTATTCTGACCATTTTGGATGCAATTGGGTCCGAAAGTTGCGCTATTTAGCCATGAGCGTTGTGGAGGGATCCTTTTTTTTTTCAAAATGGCTACTTTTCCAGTTAGGGAAGCATATTATTCGTTTTAGGGGTGGTCTTCTTTGGTTAAGAGTTTCTCTACAGTCAACGGTCAAGCCAACACAAATTGAAAACAAAATAGCAGATGACATGTTGATCACACCTATGAGATTTCTAAGTGCATTTTGTATTTATTTATTTTTTTAAAGAATTTTGAAGTATGGGGAATTACCACTGGTGTCTATGGGAATTTGTATACATGTACTGGGGTGCACCTTTCGTGGTTGGACGCCATATATACAAACAATGCATTTATGAACATTCTCCTCCAGTGCGGGGTCAACTTCAGCTCAGTCTGTCCAGGTTATTGCGACGAAAAGAAGCAGGTTTAATGGGTACTTTGGTGCACAAAAGCCTGCGCTTGTGGTCAGCCCTGTATAATTAAGAGATTACAGGATTAGTAGGTTTTATGACGTTCCATATTAATTGACTAAAAGCACTATATTTGCAGCTAAAGAGTCGAATACAATTTTGAATTGAATGGTTTATTAATATTCTGTCGCGTCCATACGCGGAATTTCGGGAATATTTACAATAAAATTAATAAGTAACAATTTAGAATTTACAATTCCCTGTTCAAGTGAAGCACAAAGCCCCAGTTAGACGGACAGACTACTGCTGTTGCTGCTGCTGCTTGTACTGCTACTGCTACTACTGCTATTCCTACTACTGCTACTACAACTACAACTACTACTGCTCCTGATACTAATACTAATACTGATACTAATACTAATACTAATACTAATACTGATACTGATACTAATACTGATACTGATACTAATACTGATACTGATAATAATACTGATACTGATACTAATACTGATACTGATACTAATACTGATACTGCTGATAATAATAGCGGGCTCTTATATCGCGCTTTTAACTACGATCAAAGCGCTTTACATTATTATCACCTCCTGATCATTGGGCCAATTAAACATTCCAAATACAATCTCAGCTCCCTTGGGAGTGTACAGCTCGATGCCGCCATTTCGGCGCAAAGCAGATAAAATCAACCCCCTCTGCCCTCACAGGTCATGCACCATAGCCACAGGCTGGACTCAAACCCACAACCAGCAGAATTACCCGCAAACCACAAATTAATGCCCCAGACCACGAGGCCACGGCACAGATCGTCCTTCAGTTTTACTGCAGTTTTATGACGTTACATATTTATTGACTAAAAGCATTATATTTGCAAATATATACGGCTAAAGAATGGATTTCCGTTTAAGCTTAATTAATAGAATAATGTATTTCTTTGTCTTTGTTTTAGCAGACACCCATGCTCGGAAGCAATTGCCTGAACGTCCCGTGAGAAGTAAGTTGTACATGTCAAAGTCATACAAAACAATCACCGCACGATGTTAGTCTACAGTACTGTACTTTGCTGAGATGCGTCCTACCTCAATGGAGCCCAACCAACCCTTATCTGACTAAACTACGCGTGCACGCTGCGCGGCAAATGTAATACAAAGTAGGCCTATACAACTGACCTAAATATAAGTAAAGCCGCGCACGCTGTTTTACTATAAAGTTGCTGCGCGCAGCGCCCCCTATCCAACAGTTTGTTACAGTATCATTAATATTTAATTGTCAGACTTACTGTCCGTTGTGTGTTTTGGGGATTACGGCCTGTAATCCCCCAGAATTGTAGGTCTTGGTCTGTTAGCTTATACTATTTCAAACGTCTGGTTGAAAGGAAACAACATGATGTGTTACCGTTCTCGAGAAAACACAGGGGAAAACGGTTGTTTACATCGAACGCGGCGGACATTTTGTGGCACACCAAGCGTTTTTCCAGCCGTTTCCTGTCAATGTGTGACGTTGTGTCACATAATACGCACAGCCAATACACAAATGCTGTTTCTCGCACGTCCGCAGAATACGACGCGGCGGGAATACTGTACAGCAGGATTCACAATTATAGCCACACACACGCACGCATCTCGAATTGACAATATTCGAAGGTTGAAGTTTTGGTGAATGTTATTATTTGTGGCGGCATTGTGAATGACATTAGTTATGGAAACGTGCATTTGATGGATGTCCTTTCATTTTGTCTGACGACTGGAGTCTTTACCATATAGACAAAATGTACAAATCTGGGTCCTTCTACCGGAGGGATCATGCGATACCCATGGTTCCCACCGAACAACTCGGGATGAATGTAAAAATGTGGTCAATTTCGGATGAATTTTTCAATATGTTTAATATGTTTGTAATATTTTGCATCTGTAAATATATTGTTTTTTTTTCTTCCATTTAATCAGGAAAAATTGGTAGCATAGCTCATATGAAAGAAGCGCTCCCTCCCGGATTTTATGAAGCTTATGAACCTGATCACGATCGCCAAGGTTACACAAAACCCAAAAATAATCATGAATATGGTCCTGGTGCAATAAGTATACAAGACGCAGGTACGTGCAACTTTGGTTTCTAAGTTCATTTTGTCACATTTTGATTTGAAAGTATTGTATTAAACGTCTTTTTGTTGGCGATTCCAGGGGTTTCAACAGTATAATATGGCAAACAAATGCGACCAGCTCTGTAAAAATGAGTCCGATGTCGTATAATTTAAATTCCAGCTTTTGCTATTTTGAAATGGAAAAAGTGAAAATTCGATCAAAATTAGGAGTTTTTGTTTTGTTTTATTTTGGTTGTTTGATAGTTTTAGTTTAAATGTCATACCATGAAATGTAAATGTTGTATGAAAAAGACTGAGGATTCTTGATGATTTTCTTGGTTAGTTACAGTATATTTATCATTTTTCAAACCTTTTTCCTCCATTGAGTCGTTTTTAGCTTTGTAAAAAAAAAATACAGAATGAAACAAGCACAGCAATGCAACCAAATGTCACTAGACAGGTCCATGATATACCGAATTCCCATTTCATTGTTGTTATCTCAAAACGTGAGTTTTGCCAAACAGACTCATTTTTGCAGAGGGGGTCACAAATGGGAATGTTCAAACCAAGGGGGATAGAACAGCTTAACAGAATGAAAGCTTAACTTATAGAAAAACTTATGCTTAGTACCGGAGGTAAAATTAAGTATTCGGGTACGAAATCTGGAACTACCGTCTTAGTTCTCTCTGCTTATTAAACTAAAAATCACACAAAACAATCACCGATAACAAGATATTAGTCCACGATACTGTACTGAGCTGAGACGCATCCTACCCCATTGGAGCCCAGGTCGTGTCTGGCTCCACAATGGACCGCCCCATGGTGTTCTGACCAATCATAGCCGTGATTTATGTCCAACGTGCGTGCACAAAAGTCCGACATGCGTGCACGCGCGTATGATGCGCGCGGCAGGAAAATGCAGCGTGGGATTAGCGAGGAGTGTGTGTTAATTTACCCAGTGCGTAGTGGGCGGGGCTAACTTGATATGTCCATTTCCGGCTACGGCCGTCCTCGTCTCCTCGTCACCACCAATGAAACGTAGATCAGGCTATTCACCATAATCTGTTTTTGCGTTTGTAACGCCTGGTGTGGCAAACTCCGCAATAAGACAGAAAACCTCGTTCGGCAGAAGTCAAGTCGACCATCGACCAGCAGGAACATCAGCGCACAGTCATGGGAAGAGGATGCCACGGATATCAGACGAATGTACTTCACCAGTGTTGTCACCGTTGTCACTGGTGTATACCACAACATGCATGGGTGTCCCCGCACACACGCATGCGCGCATTTCGCATGAACAGTATGTTTGTTTAGGGTGTAATTTGGGTGAATGATAATATTTATGGTGATATTTTGTAACTGGTGGAATCGTACATGTGATTTGTCCTTTTATTTTGTCCGTTAACCGGGTATAGGCGTATACCATAGAGTCTGACAAAATGTACCGTTTAGGTGTCCGTTCGAGGGATCATGTGACACCTATGATTCCCACTGAACAACACAGAAAATAAAACTGGTCAATTTTGGATGAATTTCGAATATTCTTAGTATATTTGTAATATTTTGCACGTATTATTGCTTTTCTTCCATTCAACCAGTTTCGGGTTCAGAAGAAGTTCCCAGTCCCAAGCGGTATGGATATAATATTCCCGATCGTCATAGTTCCTATGGTCCTGGGGCAATAGGCTCACATGACGAGAGTCATTGTGAAACACCCTCACGACACAAAGGTACGTGAAACTTAATTTTTGTTTTTCAATTCATGAACATGTCTTAGACTCATTGTCACAATTGGATTTGAAAGTATTGTAATGTCGTTTGGGCGGTCCCAGGGATATAAATGAGTATGCAAATAAGGGGGGTTGAGTTGTCAAAAACCAAGGGGATAGAACAACCGGAATTATTTCTCAGGTGCATTCTTCTTCTTCTTCCTTCTTAGTGCTGCCTTCATATGTTGAAGATAAACGCACTGCGATGGGCGCATGCATTGTCTAAAGACAACAGGAATTTGTACTCAGGTACAGTGCTATATGTACAGGTGCAAGTAAAAATCTGGTGGTGCGATTAATCCGAGCGGATGTCCCTCAGCGCAGACTTGAAGGTGTTGAGGGATGGGTATGCAGCAGGATCAACTGGGAGGTTGTTCCAGTCTCGGATGGTACGTGGGGAGTACGAGCTAGCATACACTGAAGATCTGGTGTGTGGGATAGTGAATCTGGAACTGAGTCCTCTGGAAGATGTCGATAATTGAGTAAGGTAGTTGTTCCAAGGGATGTCGACCAAGTTGTATCTGATCTTGTACATCATCTGCAGGCGATTTTGGTGACGACGTTCCTGTAGTGAGGGCCAGTCAAGATGTTCTAACATGGATGTAACACTGCTGGTTCTTCTATGATCGCCCATGACGAAACGAGCCGAACTTCGTTGGACTTGCTCAAGCTTCTTGGTATTCCGTTGGGTATGTGGATCCCATGAAGGTGCTGCAAATTCGATAGATGGACGAATGAAGGTGGTGTAGACAGCTTCTTTGACTTTCTGGCTGCTGTGGCTCAGATTACGGGAGAAGAAGGCCTTGGTGCCGGTCGCTTTCCTGGTGATGTTGTCGATATGAGTATTTCAGGTTGTTCACCATAACTGTTGTTGTGTTTGTAACGCCTGGTGCGGCAAACTCTGCAATGCGACAGACACCCTCGGCGGGCCAAAGTATAACGTCGACCATCGCCCAGCAGGATCGCCAGCCTGGTCCAGCATGGGCAGAGGAGGACACCACGGATGCCATGCCGAATGTACTACAAGGGTTGTTATCGTTGAACACCCCGACACCCACACACTCCCGCGCATTTCGCATGGACAGTGTAATTTAGGCGTGGGCCTATGCTAATACTTTGATAATTTTGAATGTTATTCATTGTGGAATCGTACTGGGGCGGATTCAGGAATTTTTGCAAAGGGGGGGGGGGGGTTCATCAACAAAAAGTTCTGAAATGTAGACAGGTGTTTTCTTCCTGACACTTGGCATCCGACAATCAATAAATGGGGTGGGGGTGGGGGCCTTGTACCATCCTTTCAATGCGGGAGCGATTCTTATTCGACGATTATTAACACTAGATTACAGAATAATGTACAAATACCCCCTAACCAACTGACTCTGTCCGTATTTTGTGCACAGGCGGACATTATTACTAATATGTATTTTTGGGGTTGTCGTAGCAGGGGGGCGGGGTTGCATTTATTTTTCTGAATTTCTATGGAAAAAAATTACAGAGCTTGGGGGTTTGGACCCCCCCCCCCCGATTCACGTCTGTGTAAATTTGACATATCCTTTCATTTTGCCTGAGTTAAGTCTTTACCATGGAGTCTGACCAAAGTATATTCCGTGGTCCTTCTGTTGGAAGGGGGTGTCCTCCAACTAAACAACACCTGATGAATGTGCTCAATTTCGAATGAATTTCCAATATTTGATATCTATGTTATATTTTTCGCGTGTAAATTGTTAGCTTGTTTCCTTCCATTTAACCAGGTTTGCCAGGTAGGGGTGGAGCAGATCAAACGCATGAGCAAGTCTACGACAACCGTGACCGTGAAGAATAAGATGCTGTAATTGGAGGTATGTAGCAGTCCTTGGTTCGACTTCATGATCAGTATTATCGCTGACTGTTAATGGTGAAAATCAATGTTTAATAATATATTATTCCACATGTTGTAAACTGTAGTAATGTTTCTTCTATTTAACAGTTGATGCGAATTTAACATCTTCATGAGTGATTTCCCTCAAAGACACTTTCGCATCCTTGCAATATCTGTTTGTCATGTTATACGGCGAATTGCAAGTTTTGCTCAAGAGCGAGTATTATTGGCAGACACCAACTACGTAATAGGTTAGAAACTACATAGTAGCGCAAGATATATTGTTTTTTTATTTTTGGTTCCTTTGCCATCCCTTTTGGTTTTATGTGGCGAATCTTTTGCAAATCTATTGTATTCTGCTTTAAGCTCCGCGCTCAGAACTCTTCACTGTGCTATCTTACTTTAAAAATCCTCTAAAGTATTTGTATCGATGTTCACACAGAGTTCTATAGTCGATGGTGAAAAACCCGTGAAAAGACATAGGTAACGATTTTATACGTCTTTGGGTAATTGCTTCGAAAACTCTCCACATTGTGAACAAGTTCAAACATACTTTTTTTAAGCTTTGGCAGGAGCTTCTACGTCACACTTGGCGGTCGGTCGGTCGGTCTGTCGGTTGGTCGGGCTGTCTGTCCTCGAAAATTGACCCCCAAAAATTCACCGAAACTAATTTGACGAAAGTTTTCGGAACTCCGGCTTTGTTTCGATCGATGCGCATGCGCGATTATTTTGCATACGTCCCCTAAAATAAAACTACCAATTTGATAATGAAAAAAAAAATAAAAAGTAAATTTAACACTAAAAAAATTGTTTGTAACATTTCAAAAAGATGTCTATGAACAGTTTGTAAATGGAGGCAAAATGTGTGAAGTAAAGTTACAGTCACGTGGTATTTTGTGTAGTGGTTGTACGGTATCTCGAAGGAGGAAATGACAACAATGTTGGCCAAAAGTATGGTGTTCCATATGTGTCATCGCCGTCGCATCTTTTGCCAGCGCTGATTGTGCACTCGCACGTGTTTACCTCACACTAGCGGAGACACATCCAAATATCGGGATTTTTTTTTATATGAAAAAAAAATTTTTTTGGCCAGCCAGAGGTGCAATCAGATGGAAATATTGGAAATTAGGAGCAAAATCAATCTCGCAATCAGGCCAATCCTCCAAGACTTGGATGGCAACTCATCTTAGAGATTTCCAACCATTTGCTGAGTTTTGTTGTTTTTGGCAGATCGCAACTATTCCGTATGTTTGATACTGCAGTGGATTCCGTTACAGCGTTCCCTGATATAAGCTCTTTTTTCATTCCCGCAGCTGTTCCCCTATTCGATTGTGTACAGTTTTCCGCGGTTGTAGCGCTCCCGGTTTACCTGTAATTAGTTTTATGCTTTATGTACTTCAACAATACGGAAGCTAACTGTCATTCTTTGTGTTAATTTTTCACAGATTTTGATGCGCCAGCAATACGCTTCAATTGTTAATCCTTTTGGTTGAGGGTTTAAGTTATTTACGACTTGATACTGTAATGTTAATCTCACTGTTCTTATAAATGGTTAATCTATAATTGTAGTAAATCTTCAATGCAATTTTCCGGGTGGAAAAAAGAACAGCCAAATCACTATCGAATGTGGTACATCATTGACTCAATTTCTTCAGAAATGTAGGAGCCTATGCTTCCAGAGGATGCCTTCATACCGTTATATTTTCGCCTCTTACACCTGTTTGACCATGCCATTTACTTATGTATTTACTTCGTCGTGTGTTTTCTGCTTATTTTATTCATTTGGCATGGAAATAAATGGACGTTTGAATTGAATTGAATTGAGTAGAAGGGAAAGGGCTGCTGTAGGTTCGCATATACATTACAAAGCTATTGGCTTAGTCAGTGCGTCAACTAACAGAGGATGCTGTACAGACTTAAATAGCCAGGCTCGCTTACGGTCCCACCATATATAGACTTCATAGGGAATCAGTGCTCATCAGTGAACATTAATTTTACTTTGCTTGTTCCCGTGCCTTATTCCTCAACCGCTGTATTATTTATCAATGTAGAATCAAGGGAAATTACAGTCATGTGGTTGCTAAGGCAAAGCGTCTGCCGTTGTTATGCAAAGCTAATCCGATTGCCAACTTAGACGCTAAAGCAGAGCATTGAAATTCATACACCACAAAAAAAACATGGCCTTTTGAACGCTGTGTTTCTCGAAAATGTGCATGGTTTGGATTAGGCCTGTCTTTATCATCAGAAATATTTTCCAGTTTTGCCACCAAAGAGCAGTGGAGTGTGTGCACAAACACATTCCACTTTGCGTTTGAAAGGACTGCATAGGCAGTTTGAGTAATTCTGACAATCAATGCAAACCGTTGGCCTTTGTCAACCTCGCTCCCCAGTTCTACTTCATTTCAACCTGGTTATCAAAGGCAAACCCTGACTTGGTAAACTACTTCCTGTATTAATGCTGTATCGATCGCACATCCACAAGGAATGGATATCTGTAAACACATTTGGTGGTTTTAATTTTCATCGTGTTACATGTTAAAACATGTAACACACGATGGAAATTAGAATCACCAAATGTGTTACATACAAATGCTTCACACGGAAAATTGTTCCTCTTCGCAAAAGATTCAGCAGTTCCTTTTTCAATTAGCCCTATGTTCATTTTTGCGGGAGGGGATTAGTATTAAATGCAGGCTAAATTGGTGTCATTATATTTGTTGGACTTTTTTTCAGATCAGACGCCACAATGATTTATATAAGTTTGTAACTTAGATACCACACTAAAAAAAGTATTGACTCGTCACATTAAAACACACCTGATTATTCCACACCTTATTTTAATATCTTGGATTTAGTAACTTTGCATGTGATTGGTTTGAATTAAATGATGCAGGTACCGTAACGCAACGCTGTAACATCTGCCTGTGAGTATTCTTTGCTCCATACTTGAGTGAATTTATACACATTTGAATAATTCACCTGCCTGTAATATTACTCGGTAAATGAACACAATAATGACATCATACTTCCACCCATTAAAAAAATATTTTATAATTTTTGCTTAATAACATAGAGATAGAAAAACAAAAGATGACATCAAACATCTGGTCATGAATAATCACACAGATAACATTAATTTTAATCATTCATGAATATGTAAATAGGCTTTTATAAACGTCGCTCGATAGATAAACCACAGAAGCTATGGGTCACGTACAGCCACGGGGTAAAATAGAGTTTACTTCTAGTAAACTTACACTACGCGTTGGAATAACGATTGTGTTGTGCTTTGTGTAAACAAAAACAAATTAAAGAGGGACATTTTGTTCGGATTATTTTCTTCGGTATGTTTCACGCGCTTTTACGCACGAGAGAACATCTATCCTGTTTGTGCATTAACAAAGGCAAACGTTTATTGCCGAACATTAAAAAAAGTTTAAATGTGTGAAAACATAGCTTGAAACTTATCTATTATTTCACAAGGCCTCGCCTAAAAAACTGCTCGTACTTTAATACCCATTCTGTTAAAAAAATATACCCAAAGCTACATTGACAAGAAGAAATTATGTGCAATTTATAACGTTATTTTAAAACCTGGGTAAAACGTATGGTAGAATCGTGCCTGAAAATAAACACTTTGAATCTTGAAGGTAACAAAAAACCAAGAGCAAAAGTAATCGTCACAGGAAAGAAGATCGCAAGTACAGTCACTACCATAAGAAAATGTATTAAAGGCGTAGGCTGTATACAATTTGAAGACTACATTTTACCTACAAGGATAAAATCGCATTTCAATGCAAATAGATTTTGTTTATTGTTTTGATGTGAGGTCATGAAATATATCAATAACATGTACCAATGCAAACATATAGCAATTTACATGCAATAGCCTTCTCTTTTGAGTAACTCAATAAAACCTAGGACTGTACATCTTTATATAATGCACTGTAAGTAAATTTACGAGATACGTCTCCAGTGATGAATACCCACAAAAGAAAAGTAACCCACAATCCGAAAACGAACTCATGTGCATGTTAAGTAATTAAGACACATTTTGATGCACAGAATAAGTAAAACCCAACCACCAGCAGTAGCAATCTTCTCCCCTTGACACTGCAGAACTAATGCGTCCCTTGGTTAGCTTACGAAAATCTTCGTCCATTTTCCACGTTGGTTTGTCGGTGACGAAACCAATCATGTGTCACTGTAATAAAAGAAAGTACAATATTTAACCTTGGATAATTACCTGAACTTGTCTCGCATAGAATCCATGTGTCATAGGCCATGCGAGAGCAACTGGTGTGTAGCGAGATACAAATTACATGTTATTGTGAAGGCTGAATTAGGCCCCCTTCAATGGGGAAACTATTGTACCTACTATTTATTGTACAACGCTACTTCCCGTGACTGATTATCTGAACAATAGCTAGTGCGATGCTTTGGCTCGATACTCCATGAATTGATAGCGTGCCCGGATTGGTCTATCTAAATTAAGCATGTGCACAAGGTATTCGCTGGACTAAACCCTAACCTTACGTAAGGTTACAAATTACTACACTGTAGTAACCTGTAGTATGCATTTCTTTCCATACAAGTGTGCACAACACCTGTAGTATTCTGTAGTATTTGGTACTTAAACCCCAAACAGCCCTTAGGAAGTTAGGGTCGGACGTGTTAAAAACAGTTTTCTTTTTCACACCGATGGCTTGGTCCAAACTATCGTTAGCATTACATGTCCATGTAATGCTAACTTCCTCTTTTTCATAGCAATGGCAGCATACGACGATATAATTTCACAGGATGTTTGCTTCTCTTCATTTACGAAGGCTATTCAATAGTAATAGGGCAGTTGTATTTTGAGTGTTTGCAATGTTGTGCATAACTACTTTCAAATCAGTTAACCATCAATCCCGGCCAAAATGGTGGGGCCACTTGGATATAACCTTAGCCTTCAAAGGTCACCACTCCCCCGGTCCCCCGGTCAATGTTGTTCTCTCCAGCTGATGGAACATACACCGCGCAATGAGAGACAACATTGAGTGGGGCCGGGGGGTTGGGGCCTAGCGAGATTTGGCCAGGATTGTAGGTTTTTGGATTTAAAGGTGTGGATGGATATGCAGGCAGCGGTGTGTCTCACCAGCCTATTCCCTCCTGACCTGCAGTGTAATTTTTTTTTAATAACAATTGTGTTTCAAAATTTGCCAGGTAGTCAATAACGTCATACAATGTATTCAGTCTTAGTTCAAGACTTAAGGTTTTTTGGTCACAGTACTCGTTGACTTCAAAATCTCAGCCACCCCGTTGAAAAGCTTTGGATCTGCGACGGTAAATTGTACTTTGAATGGATACGTTGATTTAGAACCTTTTATAAATGAATCTTTTCGTCTAAGAAATGTAAGCTTCAAGTTTTAATATTTTCATGTAGGATCATTTTTATATAGGATCATTGTTTGTCTTTGCAATGTTCATGCGCAAAACGTCTTTCCACTTTTGGTTAGATTTGACCCGGAGTCTGACACTCTGGGGCAAAACTACTCTTTTCTGGGTCACATCAATGTGTCACTTGCCAAGGATTAGGGTCAAACTGTTTAGCTTTTTGCTGTCCTGTTTTAGTACATATCAGACGGAAATTAAGTATCCAGAATAACTGCTTACATTTTAACTTACAAAATAGTAAGTTGATCTCGACTAGATTACAACTTATGTCTTATTCACTTACTTTGCCAAGAGTACAACTTCAGTCACTGGACACCTAGTTGCTCATCGATGCCTCACTTTCCTGGAAGACAACATAAACCACGGCAATGTTATTTTTCTTGGCGGGTGTATCTGACAGATGGACAAAGCTTTTATTTTGTTACAAAAACATAACGGTGAACCGTAAATTCCAGTAACTTCGATGATTGTTTCACACACAGAAATAATTGACAGTGAATAAGGTGTTGCAACAAATAAAAGGGATAATTGTCCTTTACGGGCGCGGATTAAGAAATTCATAATAAAAAAAATGCAAAAAAAAAAAACCTGCTCTGACACCCCCATTGTTTTTTACTGGTGAAATGTCCGTCTGTGCACAAAATACAGACAGAGTCAGCATAATAGGGGTTATTTGTACACTATTCTGTAATATAGTGTTAATAATCGTCGGTTTTGAACAGCACCCCCATTAAAAGTAAATTATATTGCTTAAGAATGAAGTATTCACTAAAAAGTCTTTTTTGGTATGAAGTCAACGCAGTGGGCCGGGTTTAGCCCATTCCTTGGCCTTACGGGGTAATAATATACGGGTTACAGCACAGTCCGGCTCTTTTCACCAGTAATATATGAACTTCTTCATCCCTTAAAAATTCATTAAAAGTCCATTTCTCCGTGAAAATTATCTTTAAGAGATGTTTCACGGACATTTACATGGGGCTTACATATGACTAATCCTGTAAGAGTATTTTCACGGTTTTTTAACGACCCTGGCCACTGAGGATTATCATTGGTTATACATAACGGTACACTGGGCAGTATCTTCATGGGTAAACAAAGGATTATCTTAAGGGTGATTTCAAGGACTCCTAATCTGGCTTAATATGTTGAAAAATCCGTGAAAATTAAGTTAACCGTAATTTCAAGGAAAAATTGCCCTTTAACGAATTGTTAAGGGATGAAGATGTTCATAAACAGCCCATCCAATATCGGTCGATCGGTCGGTCGGTTAGACTTGTTAAGTGAAATACTTCAGCACGTTTTCTTTCAATTTTTTTTAGCCATGCAGGATCATACATTTCCATCCAATTCCTTCCCTCTTTGTACTATTTAAAAAAAATTTAATTGTCAAAATAAATGTCATTGTTGTCGACAAACTTTTGTCATTTTAAAAACACTGTGAGGCATCATAATTTTTGTTTAATAAATCAAACTCACTGGGGTTCGAGGCTTGACAGACAGACTAACTTTCTTCTCGGGATCCTGGTGTATCGCAATGTTGACATAGGGAGGTTTGTCACAAAACCTGACTCCTGGAACTGCTTTCAGATCGACAGTCACAGAGTTACTTGAGAAACCGAGCACGCTTGAAGTTGCAATTATTTGACTCTATAAAAAGAATGGTACAACTACAGAAATAATGTTTGTCTAATAATCAGTCTCTTTGAAAATTAAAAAGGTTTCGCGGTATTAAAATAGGAAAAGTATTCACGGACACATGAAATAGTGTTTATGTAATGATATCATTTTCTGGACCGCACAATACACCAGCCATGTCAAAATAAAGCAGATGATTGGACCACAGATTTGCAACAACAAGAAAAAAGAAAAGAGACGAGGATCTTTCCATAAAAGTCATATTTTGTGAAAAAACGCGTTCCAATATTAAGCAAGGAAATATATACTTTGTGTCAGAACGAACAAGATTCTTTTCAATCATTTCAAAATGGCTATTCCCTGGAAGTCTTTCATATTTATGCGTGTGGTATACATATTGGCTCGTACTTTGCTCAAAGGGGTAATTCTTAAGCCCACCGCACACGAGAGCTACTTGCTGAGCAAAAAGTCAGTGAAAGCCGTTTGTTCAGCACGTACATGTATAATATCTATCCTGTTTCATTTCTTTCCGAAAGAAATAAAACAGGATAGATATTATACATGTACGTGCTGAACAAACGGCTTTCAATGACTTTTTGCTCAGCAAGTATCACTCGTGTGCGGCGGGCTTAAGAATTACCCCTTTGAGCAAAGTACGAGCCAATGTGTAGAGAAATTCGCCTCGCTAAATTCACTCAACCCAAAAAAAAGTCACCTCTTAATACTTTTTTTGTCTACCTCAAAAACTACTGGGCACATCTTGCTAAAATTACAACTGATCAGTACAGAAATTCCTTAGCAATCCAGCCATACTCTTTGTCTGGCCGAAAACAGTGATAATGTG